AGGAAACAGAATTATCTTTTAAAAGAGATGTCATAGGAGGCAATACCAGTCCAAGGATGGTATGTATCAAACATGTAACACTACCAGTAGGAAATATTCTTCCAAAGCCCTTAACTTCTAGAAAGGTCACTATAGATGACCAGAAAAATTCTAAGCTACATTAAAAATAAAAATTATTGACATGCTGTCAACAACTGTGACTGTAGAGTAAGATAAAAATGATAGGGATACTTTACTTGGACAGATAGCAGCTGAACTGATACAGCAGTAGAACCCATATCGAAGTGAACAACATGACTTCATTTGCATGTGCTTGAAATAAATTAGTTAGATGCCAATCCATGTTTTGGTTTTTATTGACAACACTGGCCTGAATGTTTTTTCATGCCAATCTATAGAGAAACCATGCAAGCAAAGATAAACTGCGAAAAGTGCAATCAAAAGGTGAGAGAATTGTTTTTTCTTTGAATAAGTATTTGTTATTATGGAAAGGCAAGCTTACATTTGACACAGAGGTGTGGAGAGAAATGCATTTTCTGTTTTTTATTTTTTACAATGTGGTGAATGTACTGAAGGGTGCATCATTTCAGTTCAACACAATAGTCTTTCAACACTTGGAGCTTGTATCAAGCTTGTATCATCTCATGCACAAACTGTGAAAGGTGTTTCTAAAAAGTTTTCTGTGTGAAGGTGAAGAAATCTTTGTGTATATGGTCGTAATGAAGATGTAAAACTCTCTGTGCTCAGTGGTTGTGTTATTTAACATTTTCTTCACTTTCATCTTCACAGCAGGAGCAGTGAAGGCCACAAGCGGGTACAAGCAGACGTTTCTGCCATATTAATATATGCTAGAACATTGAGCCAACTGTGAACCCCCTACAGTTACCATGCAAATACAGGTTACTGAAAACCTGTATATAACCTGTATAAGTTATTTGCTTCTTCGAAATTTCTTAGTTTTTGCATATTTGTCATGCTTAGATGTTTCAGATGTTTTTTAAAAGTATTATTTAATTTATTAAGGAAAAATCTACGATGACTAATAACCAGAAAGAACACAAAAGGCTCATCTTACATTTACCCCCCCAAAAAAGAAAAGCAAAATGACATATGGGAAAATATTCTGTGGACAAGACAAAAGTAAACATTTTTGGAACGTTTGAGTCCTGTTAAATCTGGTATAAAACTAGCTAGCATTTCACAAAAAGGAGATCGTACTAACAGTCAAACATCGTGGTGGTAGTGTGATCTGGGGCTGCTTTGTTGCTTCAGAACCTGAATGACTTGTTCTACTTAATGGAACTTTAGATTATGCTCTCTA